GTGGGGCGCCTATATATATATATATATATATATATATATACGAGTAGATGAGAAACTCACCGGTAACATCCGCATCGCTGATTGATAAGTTGATTGTATCACAGGCAATTTTGAGCGCTGTTTCCCGATCCTTGGCCATTATGGGGGCGCACATGCTGAGAAGGTAGAACAAGTCACGGCACGCAGGTGAGTTAATCCGAACTCCCATAAAACTGCTGGGAAGTCCGAACTTGCACATCTTTCTGATCACCTCTTTCATTGTCCGGTTGACTGTAGGTCTGTCTTCAAACATCTGACAAAGAAATTTAACCAGTGGCTGATTATACGCATACGAACGACACAAGAAACAAGGCTCATATTTATAACACAGATATAGAACTCCCCCATATTGAAGCTCATTTTGGAGGCGCTGATTTTTTCAGTGAGACCACCACCTCTCTGTTTCTCGTGGAAACAACTCTTCCACACACAAATGACTGATTTAGTGCACAGGAGAAACCAAAATGGAAATACCGTATGTCGTTGACCCGTATGTTTATCATTTGTCTAATACTTTAGAGTCCACGCCAGAAGCAAAGCTGATAGATACAGGAACCCGATGCATGAGTGAAGCATACTGTTTTCAGCTGAACTCAAATCAACTGAAATTTGAGGCTTCGGTACGTACACAGCGGTATCGTAGGAACAATCCACAATTGAGATGCCAGCCGAAGGTAGTACGGCTGAAGGAAAGAATGAAAAAATACACGGTGTGATAGTTCTCAAGCTACCAACAAATAGCACTGTTTCAGCCATTACACAGGGATGACCCTTCACGATAACACCGTGCATTGCAGGACTCCTATCCGGCTTTAGCTAGTTCCTAATATATTGTAGATGATAAGAGCTGTTGACCAGTACTTGTTTCGTCATCACGTGCACGAAAGAGCATCGAAGATCTTCAGCATTTTCTAAAAAGAATTCACGAAATAAAAGTCTGTCCCACGGAAGCTGGTAAAAACATTCGGATTAGGTGATGTTCCGTTATATGAGTGCAGAAAGCAGTGCGGTTCACGTTGGTCAACCGCACTGCAAGAAAATATTTTTGTTGAGGACACAAGTACTATGAAACGACAAATTCGCCAAAAGAAATGAAATTCCGGGATGATTATTCCCATCACCACTGAAGATAACAGTGTATGCAATTGCATTTTAAAAATGGAGGACCTTGGTGGAGGAAAATCTATGTGACGTCGGTAAGAGTCGGAGTCACTTAACCCTCTAAACAACCGGTTGCGTATCGTATTTGTGCAGGATGGTATCAACATGGAGTGCTACCATAGCAACACACTGCATTCTATGCAATAAAATGCCCGACACATGAGCGACAGACGGTTCGATCTAGAAAAGATAGCCAACGAAGCAGTAGCTCTTACGTCAGGTCCTGCAAATATGATGACAGAAAAATAGCCTTGACTAAACGAGTAACTATCAGTGGAAAAATAGCCAAAGGTCCAGGAATGTTAGCCGCGGCAACGTCAGGATGTCAACTTGAAATTGAATAAAATACTTCATTTTCGAAGCTATGGTCAGGGAAGCTCAAATTCATATTCACAGGCGGGGTAACCATGACCTAAGGATCTTCAGTGCATCATTGCCGACTACAAAATGGCACAGGTTAACAAATATTGCAAACCAGGAAAACAAATAGCAGAATCAATGCAGATGACTAAGAATCTAAGATCCAGAAGTGTACAGATACACCTTCCGTCAGATTGAACAGCGCTGCATTAGACGCAGCTTGGTGTCGTGCAGTGCGTAGATTCGTCACGTGAAGCGTTCAGCTGTAGCACCCTTCCGTTTCCTAACTGCCATGCCACCCAAAGAAAGCACGAGGGCTAGGATACTGCCAGGTTGCCCAAGCCTAGATAGAGGAAGTCGAGTGGTGGAGGTCGGATTCGAACCACGAACCTTCCGGTCAGTAAATTCGCGCTCTAACCACCTGGGCCATCTCGCCCCCATTGGAGGAGTTGAAAGTTGACTGTCGAGCTTCATCTGGGGGTTCTTTTGGAACCAGAAAACACCGGAAACAGAGCATGAGCGTGGACAATCGCCCGATTCCGAATAACTTTCTATCAACCTTTACATCTTCAGGGACAAAGTAGGCTTGGTGGTCACTTCATTTTTCACGAACTAGGTTAAACAGCTGCATCAAAACCCAACGCTACATCCGCAGACAGCGACAGTGGGTAATGTGATGGTAGGATGTCCACAATAACGCCCCGCAATAAATAGCTTCGTCGTGGATCACACATGTACTAAACTGAGCTAGTCGATCGTTGATAAGTCACGAAAGTACGTCAATCCGAGGTCACTCAAATAAGCTATTCGATACTATAAAAACCAGTAAGGACAAACCTGTATAACTATGGAGCCGACGAACGCAGAGTACTCTGCTGTGAAGTCACGTGAATGTGGAAAACTAAGCAGAACCGACAGTAGATTGACATCAATCATTTCTCTGGCATCGTCAAAACTGGAATATGCGAGTCGCAGTAAGAGACGAAGCATCGCGTTTACACAGTCTGATGGGAATAATACGGAGGAAGCATGGACGTTAGTGGGACATGAGGTATCGCAAAGCGGTACTGTCGTTTGACTGATGGCAGAATGTGTGGTCGCACGCTCAAACTGATGAACCAAGCCAGTGAATAGTGTTCTTCTTTGCTTGCCAGTCAGCTTGGGTGGAATTTCAGCATCCAGAATGGAGCGCTCGTACGCTGATTCTGTCCAGAGGTAATAGATAACGGAAGTTAAAAAGTGAGAATGAGTGACGTCAAAATAGGGACTTTCCAATAGAAACCTTAGAAGCAGTACTCAACTAAACGTCCAACGGATCTTATTACGAGACCAGAGAGTTGAGAAAATTGGCTGTCGGTGTTCCGACTTATCCTCATGGGATTCCCAAAGTAAACCAAGCGGACGAATGTTTAACGAAAGATAAACATTGAAAATATTTCAGTGAACCTCAGAAAACCCCCCTTAACACCGGCGGCACTCTGATAACTGGTACAGGTTTCACCATACTAACGGTTTATAAGCAAAAAACAGCAAAACTCTAACTTGACATTTAAATGAACCAAATGAACTCAAAAAGATATAGATGTCACTATTTGGCAACCAAAGGAAGTATATAAGCATCCACGAAAAACAGACAGCTCTTGCCGACGTCTTGGAGGGTACCACCACCCAGGCTCATGGAAGCCTGGTGTGGTTCACTACTGGAGGGTTTCCTGGCTTGGGTTACCGGCCTATTCGTTTTTAGTCGCTGATACTTGGTTGTGTAGCAATCACATCAAGTCGAATTGCTCTTTAATCAGCCCAATGTTTTACTGATATTACTGTCAGATGTACTCTACGCGTATGGTGCCCAAGCCATTGATGCTCCTGATTAGGGTTACTGGTCTGTTGCTTGAGTTTTTCTTACAACGGAACTGTTCAACTACGGCGGTCCGACGCTGTAGAATGCAATTATTTAACGGACCAGCAAAATCTGGCAGGAAAAGAAAGTAACACCGGAGTTCAAGGATGCTCTAGTTGTGCAGAACCGTACAGGCAAGTCTTTGGTATGGGCGCTACTCGACTGCCCGACAGCTGAAGTGATCGACGCACACAACCCCGAAGAATAATGTGGATTCCATGCTGACCGTGGCATGATAGACCTAATATTTGCTGCACGACAGCAGCTCCATACTCTCTTTGTTTACTTCACGATGGAATTCGACCGCACCAAAGAAATACTGTAAATACTTCTTTTCAGATATGTCTATTCGCCAAAAATAGTCAACCTCATTCGAAGTCCACAAGACGGAATGACAGAAGGTGCAGAGGAATGGGTCGACTTGAAGTGATTTAAAAATCTTCACTGGTGTACAGGTCGACTGCCGGCTTAATGGACATCTTAGTGAAAGGGTATCCAATTTGAATAAATTGGATCGCAGTGAACTTTAAAGCATCTTTTTTGTTCCGTTTATGTATACTTCGTATGTATTTCGTAAGACCCGCACTAAAGCCCCGGATATTCCAAAGTGATAAGTCTACAGCGGTGCTGGAAGTGACTCCCTGTGACCATGGTTGCTCAGAAATAGCTAAACGATGTCTAGCAACAGCTAGCCACATGTTTGTGTCTAGGACGCGTCTCCTGGGTGGTGGGTAGCTATCAGATGTCCATTTGCATGCAATGCACAACTGTTCAGTTGTACCCACTAGGATTGACAATCATATGCCACCAGATGGGTATACTGATGGCTTTAGAACCGATCTCTCCTATTCACCCTCCCTTGGGTTTGCACCGAACACAGGGCGTTTATTTAGGTGCGCGTGCGGCTCCATGAAAACCGCACGTGGTATTGCCCATTGAGCTCAGGTGTCTACCAGTGTAGTTTTATGTGACAGGTCGATCCGGAAATGGATGACAGCCCATTACATTAGCACCCAAACTACCACCGGATTATGAGTGTGGATAACCTGGTAAGATAGTTAAAGCACCTAGGGACTAATGCAAACAATGAAGAAGCGAATCACATGTTCCGTATCATAACCATGAGAATCACAGAAAGGACGACCAAAAGCTTTGTTCATGGATCCCTACATTGAGAATCTTGAATATCAACGGGATCATAGCTTGTTTCTTGTGTTTGACTGGGACTTCAGGGTAGATACTATGGGGTATATAGCTGCAAGCTCAATGGAGTTATAACAATAAGTTGAGGAGATCCCAACGTAGAGACGCTTAAATTATACGAAGTACAGGGTTTCGGTAGTTCCACCTAGATAGACCTCACAGTTGCTCACGGTTAAGACGCAATCTCGGGTTTGCGAAACGAGCGTAAGACTTAGTTCCCAACTAGTCTCGTCTGGACCTGTGTACATGCATTCCTCACGTTACAACGCGGATGTTTCCAAAAAGAAGATAGCGATTCTACCTCTAATTGATGTCCTCACAGGAGACAATGAATTCGTTGAATCCCGGTAAGCTAACTAATGAAATCGTATGCAGAGAACGCCGGACACAATAAAAATGACCCAAGAACATGGAAAATAGCTAGGAAAATACTGAAGCGTCCGGACCCTTCTTCGTAAAATCATGGGGAATTATGTAGACGAATTACTTGACTTGATAACGATAATAATAACAAAAATAATAATAAATAATCGTTCAGCTGTAACACCCTTCCGGTGCCTAGCAGTCATGCCACCCAAATAAAGCACGATGGCTGGGATACTATCAGGTTGCCCAAGCCGAGACAGGAGAAGTGAAGAAGATATATAGGTCAAGTTCGAACCACGGACCTTCCGGTCGGTAAATTCGCGCTCTAACCACTGAATCATCTAGGCACAGTTATACGGCATTTATGTACCGGTGCTTTCACATTAATGTCGTTCTGAATGGCGATGAAACTAATGGAAGTATTGCAGTGCCTCATGGTTGGAAGTTCAGTTCTACCTCTTCGGTTGGTTCCGTGAGTATTCACTTTTTTAGGGAGGTACTGTGCGACTCAAGTACTTCCAGTCTACTACTAACTTCATAACTGACAAAACTTAAGTAATATTCCAATTGTTAGTTGCGAAACAAGAAGTTTGTAAGATGAAGGCGCACTGCGGTCCAACAAGGGCAAGCAATAGTACCAATGGTTCAATGTAAAATCCAGTTCCCAAGACTTGGTACGGATTGGGAAGAATAAGCATAGCAGGCGCACCTGTTATGGCATAGCGATGAGTGAACAAATCAGAAGGAACTTCAGCTTTCCAAGCGCCACTTTCCCCACCATTGTACGATGATCAAAATTGTGTATTTTTTCGAACCAACGTTTAGAACACTTACCCTTGTTGGATCGCTCGTCGGTGTCCTCTGCGGTTGAAGGCATGAGCAGCACCGGCCGCCGATGCATGCTATCAAGGTTGATTTGCGTCATGGTAGGAAATTCAACCGCGTAGGGCCTGCGACTTATGTGACAGTAGGCAGACAATTCACCGTTGTGAAAGGCGGTGTCAATAATACGTCCACTTTCACTTGCATAAGGATGCCACAGCATGGCACGATCATCGAACCAGTTCCAAGTATGTGAATTCAAGTATAGCTTGCTGCTGATCTGCCGTAACTGCATTGCCTTGAAGGAGGGAGTGAAAATGTTATTGAGATTGGGTTTCAGTTGCCTGTGGGCATTGAGAAAGTGGTGACCGAGGTAACTCAGTAAAAAAACTCAGAGTGATACCGACATGCCCGTGTGCATGCCCATACTGCGAGGAGCTAACGTTCGCAAACAACTGTGAAACAGAGAAAATGCGATATTTCATGAAGAACACACCAAGGGAATATCAAACTACAACCAGACTCTTTATATCTGGAAGTCAAATGAGGCTATGAGCAGGTATGCTAGCCAAACGTTGTCGTGGCGCTCACTAGTTAGGACGGAAGAGTAGAAAAGCAACCCGCTTCAAACAGGTTGTCACGGTCAGTTCATAGAACACTGAAACGTGGTAAGCTTGGAATGACTAACTGCTTGTAACCAGCTGTCACCGAACTTACCTGTATGCTGCGCTCATACAAATCCAGAATGAGACAGGACAGGAGTAAAGTTTTATAATAGTCTGTGTCTAGCCCGTGATTAGCCTGTTGAGCAGTGTCTGGTGGACAGTCACTTGACTGTTCGCACCGAGCCACCCATGTAATCAACAGATGGGGCAAATTATGCTTCCAAGCCAGACGAGCACATAGGGACTGACAGCGACTGAAAAGCAGGGCAGACAAATGAAGTCCAACGGTAGGTTGTTCTTGTACCGAGACACCAGCCTCGTCAACATTGACCGAAAGAGAAGGGATGGTCGGAGAGGCGGCAGAGAGGCCCAAACGTCCAGACATAGTGGCAGCAACAAAACCAAAAAGTTCGTCAATGTAATGTTCTTCTTCACCGCTGGAAAGGAGCAGCTCAGCAATCCGATGAAGAATCTGATACAAAAAGCAAAGGGGCAAACCTAAGGTCTAGCGGCATAGCCGAGGACTTGGAGGTACGGAAACGAGAACGTCATAGGCAAACATACAGTGAGTTGGAAGTCGCGAAAACAGTAAAAAAAAACTTAACACAAGGTTGTTCAATTCCACAAAACTGGTAAAACTGAGAATCCTACCAACAACAGAGCGAGTGCACACAGGAGCATTACCGTTAACGCTGATACCCCACTACACGCCATTGAGACCATGCCATAAAACTGTGTGAAGGCGAGATGAGCGGAAAGTGAGAGGATCACTGGTAGAATCGTCAAGTACTCAGACTATTATGTACCACTAAACACCTAATAATATTATATTATTGCATAAATGTTATGGAATACATGGGGAACACAAACATGCCTCCAGTGGAGACAGTGGAAGGTAGCATATGCTTCAATAGACTCAACGGAAACCCCAGAGTTAAGAACGGTCCAACCGGCCAACAGGCGGATTGACAAATGAACCCCGATAGAGGATGACAGCAAGATCGCTGGTGAGGTCTACTGGTGGCCAAAGGCTGAAACACAAAGAAGACTCGTGAAGAGTCCGTCACGGTGGCTAGGTCACAGAGATGGTGGTCACATTTTTCGTAATACCAAGTAGTCCTCCAACGAATCAGACCGGCTAACCCCCTAGTTTGCAGCCTCCAAAAAAGGACTCGAAACATTTTTTCAAAACGTCATTGTACTGGATGCATTCTTCAGCTTAAATGACTGATGTGCAAGCACACAATTGCTACTCCACCATCCTTACCTTACTTTAAAGTGACTGTCGCCTGTGCATATGTTGTTCCCAACTTGTTCTACCCATAACCTTATTTGCAATTATCACGTGGTCGAACAAGCCCAGGTTTTTAGGTATTTCTATGAATCGGTGATTGACGCAAAATGCTATCGAATCGTTTTAAGTTCTCAGTCCTTTGGTGGTAAACCCCGTTGAACTGCTTCTGTGATTTGGAGTCTCCGTCACTTGTGTCACCGATCTTCCTTATATTGGCAAAAAACAGCTTTGTACTTCAATATCGTTCGGCTCGCATTTGGCTATCAAGGACTGCAATAGCGCGAAACAAACTCGGTGTTTGGAAAATGCTGCATATTCGCACGGATTTTGACAACGCGCGATTCTGGGAGGTTGATGATGCCGGACAATCGAGACGTTCTCTCTATGTTATAAACCATAATATGTACGTCGAAGGGAGAAGAGATGCAACAGGTTACTTTCACTCGCCATCTTATCCTCGAACTTGAAGAGTAACACTTCAGCCGGTTGAGGAAAGGCAACATAGATCGATATGAGTGATTCAGGTTATCGTATGACTCCGGCAAAAAGCATAATTTCCGTGCATTAAAATCGTACATTTGCACGAGAAAAAACTTGGAACAAAAGACCAGCTGCTTTCACTAAACCAGTTAATTTTTTATTTTCTCACCAAGTACAGGGATGTCTAATTCAAACCAAGTGCACTTTAATGTGATCCTAGACATCAGTTTCCGTTCACATCACTTCCCTTAGATAAGCAGCTCAGCCATGCAGAATGAAACAAGATCGATGACCTCACCCACACGGAATCTTTTACTGAGCGAGTAATAATATATACATATCCTTCGAGTGTGATGGACGGCAAGCTGGGACCGCTAATATACATCGATATCAACCACGGTTGTGGGAAACGTTTGAAGGCACCATATTCCAACCATCAGAAGAGATCACGGTTCGCAAAGGCACATCAATACAGCCCACGAGGTAACCTAATGCAGGTAACAAATGAGACTCAGTGACCGCCCGTGAAGCACTGACTCGTGGGCAGGATTTGGCCTGGTAGGAGTCGCGTCAACTATACCATTACAAACCATCACACATATAAACGACCGACACTTTTGGTATTGCTGGATTTCCGAGGCGAATTCGACCCAGTTGACCAGTTTGTTCTCTTTGACGTACCTGATCAGCAATAAATGGCCCAGAAATTTTGTTAATAATAATATGTTCCTTGTATTCTCAGACTTGCCGCTGCGCGTGATAGTACACGGAGAGTTCAGTTATAGCTTCTGTTTCCGATGTCCGACAACGATACCCATTCTCACCATTCCTACCCAAGTTCGTTATCCTCGGGATGATGAGACGAACGCTAGGTCCTCAAACTCCTGGTGTCCACGAATATCTTACCCGCTTCAAATATCCGGACACTGCTCCCGTCTCCGAAAAGAAATGGGAGTAGGTGTTTTTGGATGAACTAACCAGTCATTTCGGCCTTTTGGCATGCAACTCGCACCCAAAAAGTGTCAGGTTCATACTCATGGACATGCAGTCACTGTACACATCACCCATAATGTGAGTGTCTAGAGTCTTTTACGTATCATGAAAGCAGCGTGTGAATAGAGAGAATGATATGTGATTACAAACATGGGAGGCATCCATCATTAGCCATGTATACACAACAGAACTGACCCATCTGCGGATCCAAAGGCTACTTCAAGTCCAGAAAAACGGCTACTATTGGTTGACGGTACGTGTATTGCTGTTGGAGCACTTGGCATACGAAGATGTGATCAATGCACTCTGTATCAGGAGGAAGTATTCATAAATGTTGTCGGATTCGTCACGCGTACTGATGTCTGTTGTCGCAGTTATTACTGAAGCCAGTCGCCTTGTTATGACAAGTCTAAGGCTTCAAGCTCCACGACTGATACAGTCTCTACGTGCATATTTTTTATTTAAGGTACAATGCCTCCTTTATATAAAGTGCAGTTCATTATAAAAACAAGTTCAATCAATCTAAATACGATAAAATATTTATCATTGCTATAAAATGGCGCTGGTTAAATCTCATCTGCTAAGAACCCAACCTCAGGATTTCACAATGACTTTTTCTACATTAAACTAATTAGACAGCTAAGGGCATTTGTCATCTGAATTCTTTGGGAATCTGGTGAACTGCTGTCACAAATTATCAAACTAAAAACCGCAGAGAATGATGCATGAAAGTTTGGGTAACAACTCACTTGATCTGAATGATGATGTTTGGCGATTGAGTAACATGCACGAAATACATGCCTTTTAAGTGATTCGCGTAGTTCTTCAATCTTTTCCGGAGCCAAAGATTCCAATTCCGCGAGAGGTTTCTGCCAATCGAACGGAATTTTTAATGAGCTCGGAAGACTGGGAATCGGTTGCTGCGTTGAAGAACGCGAGCGCTCTCCAGTGGTCTGAAAGCATAATTAAAGAATGAGGTGTATCAATTACATATACAATAACTGAGTCCAACAGTCAAGTAAGGAATAATGAAGTGCATTTCGAATTCGGGTAGTAGAACGAATGGACAAGGAACCACGATAAGAAGCGATTGGATAGCGTTTACGCATCTGATAGATTTGCGTCGTAGGTAAAACTGGGCCCACTCGAGTGTGTTACAATGGTTGGATGTATTCATTTTACGCTGTTATTTGTGGAGAAAAATAGGCACAGATAGCCAAGGCACGGGGGGGTCTCAAATCCAGGTCGTCAAAACGCTAATCAGAAAATCCACTTGCTCGACTACTAGGGTGAAAAATTGCGATAAGAACACGATATAGTTGAGATTTCGGATCAAGGTATCCAGAACAGACGGATAATTCGTGATAAGAACCAAGGTGTTCTTGCAGTTAAGAAATTTACCGAAATTTCAAAACAATTCACACGGGCGTCGCTCAACGGTTGTATGATAAACAGAATACTGAACCTAAGCACGAATAACTTCGCCCGTCAAAGAGGGACTACATGCACTGGTGAAATGGCGGTAAATGCATTAACATCATATGATAGGTGAGTAATGTTCAGTACTAGGTATGAACGAGAATATACACACCTGATGAGTTCTAAATTGAGTCTAGTTAATGTAAACAGGCCGCAGCAATTAGGTCAAGGCAGAGGACTGTTCAAAAAGAAGTGATATGCACAAAACACAAGCTTCAAATTTTGACGTTCTCTGTACATATTGAGACCAAGGGCGTTTTTAATCAAGAGGATCAATGGAAGGGATATGATGACTTTAGTTATACACATCCAAAGTCATACCCGCATTACCCACTGTCTACATATATTTTTGCCTAATGCAATGGAGCGGTGGATCGCAGTTCTGAGTGTGAGTAAGAAAGCCAAAACGTCCCATGTCCGTGGGATACCAGTATGCCTGCGCGGTTACTCAATACACCCGTCTTTGTCTGTAGCTCTACCCTTTCTCCAAAGTCAGAATTGTTTTCCTGAGAGAATTTTTCAGGTAATTTAAATGCCGGGAGCAGGAAGTGCAGTCTACGAGAGTAAAAAATTGGCAACTACAGATGATGAAGCTGGTAATGAGTCAACAACACGTTATCGTTGAAAACTTCATGCGCCCGAAATCCATGTGTAAACTACCTATCAAGACCTCTGGATGCATAAAGAAGCATGCAAACACAGTCCTGAATAATAGAATACGTAAACACTTTGCTTATTGCAGTTCTAAAACCTTTAGGCATAGACGACAGTCTTTTTGTATTTCGAGAATGACCCGACATTTCCAAAACTGTTGAACTGGTATTTTCTGACTCCAGCCAGCCTAGTAAAAACAACCTAAGCCACACACGGCGCATATCCGTTGTACTGGCCAATATTTACGAATCCGTCTCAAGAAAAAAAGAAGCAAGACAGGAAAATGCAGTAATAAATATCCATCGAGAAGCAGTCCCTAGTTGAGGAATCCCACAATAAGCTGTGTCTGACGGAGAGCGATTTTACTTTTGTCTTCACGAGGACGAACTTTCCTCATGGGAACTGTGCTGCTGCATTACGCTATTTGCGTAATGCAAATAAAAGCGGAAGATAAAGTTAATTAAGGTATCCAGGATGATGGGCAGAAAAGCTTGAGAACCGCTAGTGGACAAGGATCGGTACGGCAACACTTTCCTTGTTTGTAATACGAACCCAAAATGAAGGGTAAGCGCAGTTGAAAATGGAGGTGCGCCACTAAAGTTTTTTTCATCGGGAATCGGCCACACTGAGTAATCGTGTTGAATTGGGTGTAATTTCAACTTGCGAATGGAACTATTTTGTGTCGAAAGGCCGAGAAGCACTTCCCAACCATGTCATCCTCCCGAAAATTGACGGGAGTGCGCAAACACGAGTCTCCAGAAAGAGCCGAAACTGGGACATTCAGTTTTCCGCTTGAACACTACGCTGAATGGACGTTCGATTAACGTACAACTGTGTACGATATGGCCGCAGATCTCAATCTACTTATAGATTAGCGGGCTATGCAGTTCGGACGATTTCCAACAGAATAGTAACAGTGCAACAATGTCTGTTTATGTGCCGCCACACTAGAAAAGTCATTGAGTCACTGGAAGAAATTTCGCTCATCTACGACAACTAATCACACTAAAGAACGATCAGAGTCAAGTCTCATGCTCCAGTGCACTGACCAAATTTAAAAATAGATGCAACTCTAGTTTAAAGCACTACGCTCCAATCACATGACAACAAAAATAAAAAGGAATCGCACGCGTTGAGAGATTACAGCGTTCAAGTGATTCAACGGTGACTCAGCGGAACTGAGTAGGGATGAAGCGACCGACGCAAGTTCCATTGCTGCCGCAGCGATTGCGGAGGCCGATCGGGTAACAGAACTGTCACTGCCCTCTTGAGTTGGTTGTTCCACGGTGTCACGCCTCTGTAACGTTGCACTTCGGCTTGATCGAACAGTAGCAGTTGTTGCAAGAAGTTCTTCTGCTGGTGTTGAAACCAAAATATTCACTGCCTCGTTTACGTCGCCCTCCGTTTGCTGAAGATGAAAAGCAGCCACATCAGAGTTCAATCGAGTAAACTAAGACCGGGAACTATACCTCTGATGACAACACTGAAACTAACCTCCAGAGCAACCACAGCTACCTCACGGGAGAACCCCATTTCCTCAAGCAGCCGTATGTTTACCCTAGTTCGTCCGTCAAGTTCCGGTTCAGCAGTACCTGATTCAGACACATCCATGATTGCATCTTCTGTAGATAATGTGGTAACCGGAGGAACTGACGTTGACGTATCCGGATGAATGACTGTAGAGAGCTGATAAACCGAAAGGCGATGAATGTAGATCACATACCGCAGACAGTCACGTCTTTAGTGAACAAAAAATAAGGTCTAATTCACATACAAGGTGGTTATGGTCAGAAAATAGCATCGTATGCAAACCGGAATGAGCACCACTCCTGTTTGAAAGTTAGTGCGCACAGGGATTCAAGTATTTACTCCTGAACAGAACGACAAATGAAATATAAAATGGATGCGTTCGTTCCTAAAACGCAATTCACTACGCATTTCTCCCTGATTGGAGCTCATCGAGCAAATGCCAGAAGACCGATCACTTGGTGCTTGAGTTCAATGTTGACACATCTAACCTAGCATCGCGCGGTACCACGACTCACTTGTACGAACTGAGTATAAAGCCGAAGTGGCCCAAACTTGCCATTTATGTCAAATTCTTCAGGAATTTAACCACAACTCACCCATAAATTCTCATGAAGTACATCGACGAACTGGTACGAAATACACTGATGGGCATGAGGTTTGTCTACGGGATAATAACGAAGCAGCCCTAAAAAACACGATGCACAGGCATTTCTCTCAAAATGGAGGCCATCAGGTGGATATAACAGGATCGGCCTCTCACTTCCGAGTGCAGACTCCTGACGAATCCGAAGTACAGACCGACCTAATTTACTTCAAGAAACCGCTGCCAAATTATCCATACGTAGACACAACTAAGCTAAAAGGTAGTGATCGTTGAACTGGCCTGAAACCCAGGGATAGAATGTACCACACAGTCCGTACTCATCAGAACATGAATAGATGACTGTGCATTGACACTGCCCAACAGACGAGTAGCCTGATCGTGCGAGATGGCCCAAAAGGTTAGAGAGCCAATTTACTGACCGAAAGTTCCGTGGTTCGAACCCGACCTCTATATCTCGACTTCCTCTGTCTAGACTTGGGCAACCTGGCAGTATCTCAACCCTCGTGCAGACTTCGGGTAGCATGGCAGTTAGGCACCGAAAGGATGCTACAGCTAATCGTGCAAAGCACAGTCGTGGTTCAAAACGAAAAGTAGTTAGCCCACACACTGATGGAAAAGAGATTGCAGTGTGTCTACAAATAGCCCAGGTGCCCCTTATCCCTTTCTGTGAACGGAATTCCTATACGTCACCCTCTATATTACTGTTTCGAAAAAACAAACCGAATCGATTTTATAATTATAATTATAATTGCAATTATAATCATAATAATACAAGTGGAAATGTCTCTGCTTTACATAACGGATCAAATTCAAGTCTTACAAACTACAGGCTGACTACTAGCACACTCTATCAGCTTTATTTCAATCTCTCTCCAAACGTGAGAGCCTTTTTCCACGAATCTGACATGCCACACAAAAAGCCAAAGTGTTTAAATATGAAGCTAACCTGTCAAGTGTAACTGGATGATAAATATTGTTTATCCACTAGACTCAACGCCTCACTGATTGCCACAAACAGGTGATGGAGCAGTTGGATATCTCCATACCAATAACTTTTTTGAGGGTCAGAAAGGTCGAATATGCACTTCCGCCGGTGCAAACACAGATGCCATCAAGTTGCCACGAGATTTAATAAATGGAAACACAGAACAAAATACCTAAGGTGAAGTTCAAAGTTAAAGAACGCACTCAGGTGTTTAACATACAGCGCTCCATATCCAACGGTTCGTTCTGTAACAACACCGACCCTAAACTAATCGCGTAGTGAAGTTTAGGCTTATCTGCTCCTATTCTTAAACTAACTTCCGGATTCTTGATGCCTAATACGACCAATTATGGTTGTGTGTGCATGAAATCACATTCTCGTTCGGCTGTAGCACCCTTTCGGTGCCTAGCTACCATGTCACATGAAGGAAGCACGACGGCTGAAATACCGTCAGATTGTCCTATTCTGGAAAAGAGCAGTCCAGATGCCAAGGTTGGATTCGAACCGCAAAACTACGAATCATTAAGCTGGTGCCTTCATCACTGAGCTATCTCGAGCCAACTAAATCCTATTAGTCAGGGAGAAATGTTCTCAGGAAACAATTAGCTCACTGGTTCGGTCTCTGCCACTGGCAATTCGGTGGTCAAATTGATAAGCAACATACCTAAAAGTCTGATGTGAACGTAGGTTTATCCACCATTACTCAAATAGCACAGGTTACATTGGCCCAAAAGAAGACAGCCGAACATTCAATGGCATAGGATTGGCAATCAAGGTTATCTGGGCATCAAAAGGATAAAGATGATTTGTGGACTCAGGTCGTATTAGGCAGGGTGGTTGTGGGAAGGAAGTCACTAGATAGAGAGAGCAAGGCAGTTGAGGCGGTTGGGCTGCTTCAACCTCAAGGCTCCGTAACCTACTAAGACTGACTTTATTAGGATCGTCATATGAGAAACACAATCTAAGCCACGAAGTGAAAAATCATCTGGAAGGGTACGAATTCGAAGTACAACTATTTTCGATATGCTGAAAGATGACAACGATTATTATCTGAATCAAAGGCAAGGCGTAACGGTACTTACCACCTGAGGTATTGAGCAGGCAGGTCCTGGGGAAGAAGGTTTGCTAGTCGCCTTGAACAAGTATGGCACAATCGTTACCAGCATACTTAAAAGGTGCTCAACAGCACGGCGTGTCAATAAGTTCTGGAACGATAAAGTAAATACTCAGGTTTGATGACCATATTGGCTCAAGATGGTTCAAGGGAATATACTACAACGAAACAAACCAGTCGAAGAAATCACCTTATGTAGACAAAAACTGTCAAGGATGACCCATTACTTTGAATGTGTACCCTATATAGGGAAGGACCAGTCCAAAACGTTTCCACTTCGGTTGCGCTGAATGTTGCCAACCGCCCTGAGAAATCTAGTCAATACCTCTTCGACTGAGGCCGAAAAACATTCTGCATAGTTTACACCTCGGTATGGAACCCAATAAATACGATTCCATAGTTTAACATGTAGGCGAAGAAGATAACTCAAAAAGTCCCTGAAAGGATTAGAGATACTGACACTGTCTAGTGTATTAGTGGCATGATCAGTGGTTTCATAATACAGCGCCGGGAGACAAACCCTCGCAAGAAGATTCGATCCGGGAGAATGAGCTCTTTGTAAGGCCTCCATAACTTCGTGGATCCAAATAGTGAGACTAACAGACAGTGTACGACAAATGACACAACTGGCACGTCAGAATCTAAATAAACTAAAACCAAATCTTCTTCGGGCAGAGGCCACGGAAGGAACCTCAGCAATTGTATGCAAACCACCAAAACAGGCGCGTTCACTAGCTGATGAACATATCACTGGTATCGCAATTTGATGAAGCCAACAACAAGGTGAACTATGCTCACACCAAACTTCACTGCTTATATATGCAAGCCAGGTGTGAACTACGACGACCTGAGACCTCATCTTATTACCTTTCCCCTCTGTTGTTTAAAATAAAGCAGTTGTACAACCTCTAAAAGGTCATCCCATGCGAGATGGTCGGTCTCTATGGATAAGAAAATAAGAGTAGACGACTCAAGAATACACACCTAAAATAGGTCAATAAAAACTGAACAGGAATAGTCAGTGGTGAACAGAACAATCACTGTGGTGAAAGCGTAATATAAACGAAAAGATTGTGAAGTGTGATTATTCTGAATGCTGAAAGTGCTACTAAAGGTACATTCCTTGTCGGAAGTGTGCGACCAAGGTGTTCATGATTTATAGGGGGATTTCGCAATACATACCACGTTACTTGACGGACTCGCCAGGGAACGACGACGGCCAAAATCGCGCGTTTAAAGCAGAATGAGCGAATGCTAAAGCTCCCAGATACATAAGCCCTTGGATTTAAAACAACGGCAAGAGAACCACATATGTTGTAGCAGTTATACCGAGAAGGAATTATGAACAAATCCTGTCTCCCACTTTCTTTCACTCAGTCAGCTGTGAGATACGCGTAGGGACCCTATTGTACGGGTTAAAGGAGGTATTAGTTGTAAGACATGGTCGTGAGCCAAGAATGTGGCAGGTTAACCAGCCCCAATAATTCCAGAGATTAAAGATTGGCCGAGTGATCATGATCAATTGTGCCGCATTAAAAGACCAGGAAAGTGCATAGGGCCTCGGAATTCATCTTTAAACGAATTGACTGAGTGGAAACGCAGCTTGTAAGGATGACATGCCAGGCAACACTTTCACCAAACTACCAACCAAGCCCGATTTATTTTAGCTTCCCAAAGCACATAATCTTTGTCCACGTAGTTAGTTCGACGAAACGAGCCGTCCAAGGTAAATTAATACAGGAACGGGATGCATATGGTCAGGCACCGCGTTACTATTCTAGCCATGCGGGTTCACCTACTGTGAAAGGCAAGCACCAAAAAGGGTGAGCCCCGTTCATAAAGCACTCTCCAAGCAGCAGCAGCCATTAGGAATACCAAAACACGACGTGTACATACTGAATGCCCACCCAAATCTTCGATTGGCTGGATAGAGCTGAATATATTTAGAGAATTTGGTACGCAGTGAATGAACTGCGTGACGGGAGTCGTCACTTACGAGAAAAAACAGCTCGACCGTCGTCAAGGCCGCCACGCAAGTTCAGAGACAGTGCTAGGCACTAAAATCCTTGACAGAGGTCATCGGAAAACCAAAGAAACGGAAACATGAACTTCTAGTCACCAACTTGCTCATCAACCAATGAGCCATCTACTCCAAGAAACTACTATTGTTTGAATGGACAGATTCCTTTTTGTCCCATTTTAAGGCGGGCATCCGTAACGTGCTAAACATATTGTAGTGGTAAATCAACCACAGTTAATTAGGGAGCGCGCTCGATGTGAAGGTGCTAAGGTTGATTTGGAAGTGTTCGGTCAGGCCATTCCAACCGATCATAACCAAGTTGTGGAAGTTCGCGTTACAATCTGTAATGATGCGTTTTCGATTTAATCATAAGAGGGAAGGAGATGGAGCAGGCGAGCGATGCGGCGAGCGATGCAGGCGACCTCGGTGCGCTCCATATTACTATATGGATCAGAAATCTGGCCGATGCGCGCCGAGGACGTCAAAAGACTTTCAGTGTGTGACCATCGATATCTTCGGAGCATTGCCCGAATTTGGTGGGAACACCGGATCAGCAATTCTGAAGTACGTCGAATGGTATTCGGGAGAAATAACTCACCCTCGATAGATGAACTGATCACACTGCACAGGTTGCGCTGGCTTGGCCACGTGCTGCGTATGCCAG